AGACACGGGGCCTGTAGGCCCTGGTTTTCAGGCTGTCAGGCTGAAACAGACACGGGGCCTGTAAGCCCTTGTTTTTAGGCTTCTAGGCTGAGACCGCGGGATGGGCCCTGCAGGCCCGTGTGGCTGCGCAGTATGCCACACCCCCCCCTCCTTGAAAGACCGAGCTTACCTGTGAGGGCGAAGCTGTCTGTCTGAGGGAGGGGCCACAGTCCGGGTGGGAGGGGCAGGTCGTGAAGTTCCCTGAGCTATCCTTTGTCACTCGTAGTGAGCGTAGATCAGCGGTGCGGATGCTTTCAAATATGTTCCTAAAATCCACCGAGTGTCGTCGGGATCGCATGCTTTGAATGTAACTTTGTATTGTCGAGGCTTTCTGCCGTAGTTGCGATCCGTGATGACGCGGTCAACTTCCTGATGACCATCCATAGATGGAGGGTCCTGCGATCGTCGGCCCGGGAAGTCGTCGCTCTTAGCTGGTGTATATGTCGCCAGCTTAGGCGTGAAAGACAGGGTGGACCATCAGATGCGGGGGGATGTTGATCACAAATGAGGGGCCATCGGGCTCATCGCCCGCGGCTGATGTTACGGCCCATGGTCCAAACCACTTGGGAAGCAGTTTGCGTGAAACATCCTGCTCGAGTGCAAACTCTTCCGCGGAGACCCACACCAGACCACCGGCGCGGATGGGACATGGCACGCGATGCCTGTTGGCTTGCTGCTGCATGCGGACTTTAGCCTTTTGCATGTTCGCGAGGGCTTAAGCCAGCAATTCCCTGTACTTCCAAACGGAAGCGGGGGAGCAAGCAGCGTCTATGTTGGTTGTTCGTGGGAGGAGAAGATCAGCGAAGATACAGCCTTTCCGACCACCGTGGCGCAACTCGAATGGAGTTATGCCGATCGCCGGATGCAACGAAGTGTTGTAGGCGAACTCGATGTCGAGGAGGCGGTCAACCCAATCCTTCTGATCCGGACGGATGAGCGTACGAAGCATCATTTGAGCGGTTTAGTGTGCCTGCTCCATTTGCCCGTCCGTTTGTGAATGTGAAGCCGAACTTGGTTTCATCTTCGTGCCGGATTCCTGCATGAGAGAAGTAAAAAATGCCGACATGAAGCGCGTGTCGCGGTCGCTGACGATGTCTTCCGACACGCCATGGCTGCATCCAGCTGGTGTGTAGGAGGCGCGCAAGTTCGGAAGCCGTGGCGTAGTACTTGCAAGGAAGAAATCGCGCATACTTACTCAAACGGTCAACGACCGTGAGGATGCCGCCTTGCTCGAGCCGGTGACGGGGGAACGGTCCGGTGACGTCCATGGCAATGGAGAGGCCGGGTTCCTGTGGGATAGGCATCGGGCGCAACTCGCAGTAGGGATTGCGGTTGTGGGGCTTGCTTCGTCAGCAAACTTCGCAAGAGTGGCAATACCAAGTGACATCGGTAATGAGGTCCGACCATCGAAATTGTTGCCGAAGTCGTACAATAGTGCGATTGACTCCGAAATGGCCGGCAAGTCGCGAGTCATGGTACTCCCCGAGAAGGCGAGTCCGATGACGACGGTCTCGTGAGACACACAATAAGTCCTTGCCTCTCGAGTGGAGGAGCAAGTACCCGTCGACGATGCGATAGTGGCTGGCCGGCGGGTGATCCGAAGATAGCTGCGCATACAATGTGGCGAAATCCGGATCAAACTCATAGCCCCGAATGAAGTGTCGCTGGAGTTCCTTGTCAAATGCGAAGGCATGATGTGTCATAGCGCAAAGATCGGGTCTTTGCGAGAGTGCATCTGATGCGCGATCGGAGAGGCCGGGGAGATGTTTCGGTGTGCAACCGAATTGGTCGATGAAGTACATCCATCGTCCGATCGTGCTGCTCACCGTATCCTGCGTCTTGTAGTAGGTCAATGGGTTGTTGTCCGTGACCCATGTGAACCTACGACGCCCAAGTAGGAAGTGCCGCCATCGCTTGASAGCCATCACGAACGCGAGCAGCTCCTTCTTCCTTGCATCATCAAGTGAATTGATGGGAGACACTTTGTGGTTGAAATACTCCATGGGGTGTCAATCGTCACCGTCGTGTTGTTCCAAGACTGCCCCAATGCCATAGCCGGAAGCGTCGATTGTCACTCTCGTTGGCAGGGTGGGGTCGTAGATGCTAAGGACGGGTGCCATGAGCATGGCGGTCTCGAGTGCTTGGAATGACCGGCGTGCGTCGTCCTCGAATACGAATGGCACCTTTGGCGATTGTAATCTCGTCATAGGTGCAGCAATCCTTTTGAGTACCCGGTGATGAAGCGTCCCCATGAATGAATGAACGTCCGTGGTGTTGGTGGGCTCGGGCCATACGCGGATGACCTCGATCTTGTCCGCAAGCGGACGGATGGTTTGCGGTGCCACATAATGTCCCAAATACTCCAGCTCTTGCCGAGCGAATTCGCATCTGTCGCGGTTGGCTTTGGCTTGTCGTAGCCGCTCCAAAACGGTGCGCAGGTGCTCCACATGCTCATCCAAACTCCGGCTATACACCAAGATGTCGTCGAGGTAGATGAGTACGAATCTATCCAGCATGTGCCGGAACTCCGTAGTCATAGCCGCTTGGAACGTGGCTGGGCCATTCGTAAGGCCAAAAGGCATAACCAGCCATTCGAAATGCCCATATCACGTCTTAAATGCGGTCTTGTAGCGGTCCTCCCGCCGGATCTCGAGTTGGTGGTATTCCGATTTGAGGTCAAGCTTGGAGAAGAACTTGGCGCCGCCCAGTCGTTCGAGGAGGTCGTCGATGCATGGAAGCGGGCCGGCGTTCTTGATGGTTTGCGCGTTGAGCTTGCGAGAGTCGATGCACAACCGCAATTCCTTGTTCTTCTTCCGAACGAAGAGAACAGGAGCACCGTATGGCGAAGAGCGAGGCCGAATCCAGCCCTTCTCGAGGAGATCGTCGAGTTGTGCCCTTAGCATACTTGACTCTTCCTCGCTCATTTTGTAGATGCAACCACGCGGAGGTACGGCCCCGTCCTCGAGGATGATCTCGTGGCGGATGGGCCGATCCGGTACTACTCCGTGCGGTGTTTCGAACACGTCGCCTTAGGCGTCGAGAAGCTCGGTGATGCGTGGGTCCGGTGGTGAGTCCATCGATGGAATATCTTGGGGCGGGACAACATGGAGAAAACACACCCCCATCTCCTCGGTGTCATCCCGGATGATGGAAGCTCAAATGCTTGCGGCGGACACCACATGGCAGTTGATCGAAGGGTGAGGAGGAGGCACCGTGCATGGGACTCGTACTCCGTTCCGATCACGAACGTGAACGGTGCGGCGGTAGAAGTTCACCGAGTGATCCTCGCTTCGCAGCCATGACATGCCCAAGATCATGTCGAACTTGGTGTCCAAAATATCGAAGGACACGGCCTCGCTTGCATGCGGGGCAAGGTACACGGGGACGGCATCAATGCACCGGTCGATTGACTTGTGCGTGTGACCGTCGACCAACGTGACTTGTGTGGGCTGCGACTTCCTCCGAACGTGTGGCCCAAGTCCAGCGCGGACCATAAAGTCTTGGATCATGTAGTTGCGAGTAGCTCCGCAATCGATCAAAGCGTTGTAGGTCGCCTCTCCAATCTGAATGCATATGTACAACAATGGCGCGTCGATGTCGTCGTATCGTTGTGTCTTCAACTCGCGGTCGATCTTCGCAATGTAGTCGTGAAGGTCGACAACCTCTACTCCGACGTCCATCAACAGATTTGGTACTGCAATGTGCAAGTAATCCCGCAATTGTGCCATGAGCGTTCGACAATCAACCGGACGGGGGAAGGGGCATCCATTGGAAGTCCGCAAACGTCAACGGGTCGAGCTCTTCAAGTCTTGACCATGTCGTCCAATCCCCGGCGATAGATGGCGGTGAAGCTGCCGAATCGGTTACCGATGGTAGTGAAACCGTGCATGTGGTGGATTGTTGCACGTGGAGTGGTTGGTCCAACGGTGGGACCAACTGGACAGCATAATCCTCGTAAGTGAAACGAGGACTTGCGACATTTGCATCCTCCCCAGATGTGTAGGAGGCCGCTAGCAAGGCGGCCGAATCTGGCGGAGTGAGAGGTGGAGTCGCCACACCTCCTGCGCAACTCAGTTTCCCGAGTTGATGCGAGGCCGAAAATCCTCCTTGCCTTGATCCGGGCATTGGGAGGTCTTGTGCTTGGTGCTGTTGCACCAATAGCAGCAGCCATACCGGCCACGCCACTTGTATTCGGCCTCGGTCAAGTGAAACTTGACCCAAGGTGCAGGCTGTCCGTTTCCGGCCGGCGATGCGGTTTTCGCCTTCCCTTTTTCTCGGGAGTTGTTGCTTCGCGGCAGGACAGCAGCCACCTGATCTCCCTCACGTGATGCTTGGGTGGTTGTCGGGTCTTCCACAATGTTGTCCGGTTGGACTGCAGCGACTTGCTACGAACGCGGACCAAATTTTCCTTTCTCCACATAGGTTGGCTGCCATGCCGACTTCTCATTTGCAGCCGCCCTATTGGTCTTGATGATCTCCCTTGCCTTGCGATGATTTTGGCGAATGTCGCGTATTGCTCGCGATCACCAAGTGCAAGGCTCAAGGCGACACATGACCGGTTGTAGAATTCCCGGCGCATATGCGAAAATGGCAATTCAAGATCGGGCGTCGCCGCGATCTTTTGCCATTCCGTGAGCCAGTCGCGTGTCGATGTGTTGCCTTGTGTCATAGCGAAGAGGCGGTTGATGGCGATCGCCAGGGCGTCCTCCACGATGAACCGCTTCTTCCATAGCCTTGTTAATTCTTCCCAAGAGATCTTATCATGGAGATCTGCGACCTGGACGTCGTGAATGGTTGCTAGGTGGCTGAGCCAGATCTGGCATCCGCCCTTTGAGTTAAGGAACAACGCGCCGATGTACGAGTGCTCGGGGACGAAAAGAATCCGAAGTTGCGCCGTAAAGCCCTCCCACCAGGGGACCGGGTCTTGATGCGTATAATCATCGAACTTTTCGATTTGGAATGTCGGCATCTTGTAGTGCTGCGCACTGGTGTTGCCATCCTTGTTGGGCCACTGGTGCATTTGGTGAACCTCGATCTCCAAGGTGTCCAGCTGCTTGCTGATGGTGGCTGGTGCAGCGAAGGTGCTGATGTCGTCGAGCATTGCGACGACAAGGTCAACTCGTTCCACTAATTGGCGGGTAGAGGGTGCACTGCTGGCCGCGCCAACATCTGGTCTTGGTGCTACTTGCTCCAAGTCTTGTACACGGGAATCGAGTGCCCGTGTAGCATCCTCGTGCAGATCCTTGTGGTTCCGCACCGCCCGTCGGAGATTCGCCAGCTCGGACTGCAGGTGGTTACAAGTGTAAACCAACCGGGTCACGAGTTTGGCCAGAAACTCCTTGTGCTGCTCCTCCGATGTCGCATCTTCGTGCTGCTCAGATGGTTCAAAATGCCAAAATTTGAGCTTTTCGATGCTAGTGGCTTCATGCCGCTGTAGCAGATCCTGGGCCTCCTTGCGGCGTGCCTGGGTATCTGCTTCTACTTCGGTTTGAAGCCGCTGCTTTTCAGTTGTTGCCGCCGCTTCAGCTTGTAGGCGGGCAGCCTTGGCTGCCGCCTGACGCTGCTCCTCAGCCTCGATCAGTGCGAGCTGAGCTTCGAAACGTTGTCGGTACTCGACAATGGACTCATTGGCGAGTTGGCCTGGCATGCCCAGAACTGAGCCCGTCATGGTGGCGGGGCACTGATGATGTGGCACTGTGGCACTACTGACGTGGTACTGTTGACGTGGCACTGCTGACATGGCACTGTTGCTGACGTGGCACTGTACCAAACCGGGAACGCAAGCAAGGGGTGGGTGGGAAGGAAAACGCAGGTAGGTATCCAACCCAGCTATACTTTCCTCCCGGTCCTAATCAACAGACTAAAATAAAAAAATAAAAGAAGAGGATCACCCCCTTTTTTTTTTTTTTTTTTTTTGTATATCTGTCGATCTGCTATGAGTGAGGCATGTCAGAAGAGTACTATGAGCGAGATCTAGGTTAGGTTCCGCAAAGTTTTGGCTTTCACAAAAATGCGATCTTGAAAAAAAAAATTGCGAAAAAGAGTAGAGATGCGATTTTCAAAAAAGAACTAAATCCAGTTTCTGAGAATATGACAACCTCTATCGTTATCCTAATATGCCTAGAAAACGAAATGCTAACATCAGAAATTTTCGGCTATGTATGCAAATATCAGAAATTTCGGCTGCAAACATTAGAGAAATGAAATGCTACTTTCACAAATTTTCCAATATTTGTTGCATGAAAATGAAATGCTAATATCAGAAATTTTCAGATAAAACAAAATGCTATTATCAATAATTTTCAGATAAAACGAAATGCTATTATCCGAATTTTTTTCAGATATTTGTTGCGAGAAAGAATTTTTTTTTCAGAGATTTGACAAAGTCCTACTTGGTTTACTAATCAACAATCAATAGATCAAGCAAGCTGGCTACTTGATTGAGCGGGTCCTCTGATTGAGAGGTCCGCTCCTATACCAAACTGTCGCATACTGTAACGGTGCAGACCAGAACAAGAACCGACCTCTCTCACAAAGTACAAGATAGCGTCGGGGAAGACTTAGATACCAATGATCCGAACAATCAATGTTGCAATGCAGCCCCAAACACCATCATCATCATTCCATGGTGGGAAGGGGCCTGGCGCTCGCACAAGAAGAATGCGCCAGTCCCCGCCATACACAGACGAAGAAGAGGGGGGTTAGACAAAGGAGGGGAAGATGGGAATGTCGTCAACACCAAGTCTGTGATACAGGTCCCAAATAATCCCCGTCAAATGTCTGAATCCCAATGTCGAGTCTGGATCCAATGTGTCTCAAGTCACAGCTCTCTCTCTCTCTCTCTCTCTCTCTCTCTCTCTCTCTCTCTCTCTCGCGTAGTCCGCAGATACTAAGAAGTCATTTAGTGAAGAGGAAGAAGAAGAACTCTCTCTCTCTCACTCCGGTTCTAACCTGTGAAGCTGGCGCCTTGATGCAGGTACCTCGAAGATGGAGCTGGAGCTATGGCGCCTCCGCCAGCCATCTCTCTCCAACACTACTACTACTAGCGCCCTGCGCTGAAGACTACTCCTGCAGCTACTAGCGCACAGCGATGAAGACTACTGCTATTGCTAACGCTACTCCTGCAGCGCTCCTCCAGAGTGCTGCTGCCGAAACCTGAAGACTGCCTCCTGCATTCTGCCTGGACTGTACGTGAAGTGCCTGGCCAGTCCCTATCAACTCTCCCTGCCTGTAGGGCGGGCCAGTCTTATATAGTGCTGGCCCGTCCAGGAGGCTGCTCTTGCCAATGCCCAAACGTGCTAGACCCTGAGGAAGCGTCCGGGAAGTTTCCAGGTAGCTTCTGGCTAAAGTCTGAGGAAGCTTCCGGGAAGTTTCCAGGTAGCTTCTGGCTAAAGCCTGAGGGCCTATAGGCCCTTGTTTTCAGGCTGTCAGGCTGAAACTACACGGGGCCTGTAGGCCCTGGTTTTCAGCCTGTCAGGCTGAAACAGACACGGGGCCTGTAGGCCCTGGTTTTCAGGCTGTCAGGCTGAAACAGACACGGGGCCTGTAGGCCCTGGTTTTCAGGTNGGCTGAAACAGACACGGGGCCTGTAGGCCCTGGTTTTCAGGTTGTCAGGCTGAAACAGACACGGGGCCTGTAGGCCCTGGTTTTCAGGCTGTCAGTCTGAAACAGACACGGGGCCTGTAAGCCCTTGTTTTTAGGCTTTTAGGCTGAGACCGCAGGATGGGCCCTGCAGGCCCGTGTGGCTGCACAGTATGCCACAGATTGGACGAGAGAGCTCAACCAAGAGGAGGAACAGGGTCAGGGAGCTGCGAGAAGTAGCCATGATCATGAGGATGATGAGAGATGCATCGTGGGCAGGGGGTCAGAGGAGGAATATCAACGCGCTCTTGAGGGTAGCAAGAGGGGGAAGGTCCAGGGGAGCGCCGCCTGTGCCTTGCGGATTCACCATCATGATGTGGTCGAGGCAACTCGACACTCGCGTCAAACTTTGTCCTGGCTCCTGATCATGGATCCCACTACAACTTGCTAATCGAGGGGCAGGGAAATGCGAGCACCTTCAGAGGCTAGGAGAAAAGTTACTCTCCGTTCTCGCTACATTCCCCACTACCTTTGCTACACTCGTTGTATTCCTGAAGGCAAGACTCGGCTCAATGTTGCAGCAAATGCATGCAACGCAGTGTAGATAGAATCAGGGATTGGACGAGAGAGCTCAACCAAGAGGAACAGGTCAGGGAGCTGCGAGTAGCCATGATCATGAGGATGATGAGAGATGCATCGTGGGCAGGGGGTCAGAGGAGGAATATCAACGCGCTCGAGAGGGTAGCAAGAGGGGGAAGGTCCAGGGGAGCGCCGCCTGTGCCTTGCGGATTCACCATCATGATGTGGTCGAGGGAACTCGATGCTCACGTCAAACTTTGTGCTGGCTCCTGATCATGGATCCCACTACAACTTGCTAATTGAGGGGCAGGGAAATGCGAGCACCTTCATAGGCTAGGAGAAAAGCTACTCTCCGTTCTCGCTACATTCCCCACTACCTTTGCTATACTCGTTGTATTCCTCTTCTTTCTTTTCCGTCTCTTCCTGGTCCTTCCTTGCTCACTTCCTCCCCTGGCAAACATACTTTCTACGTTGTTAATGAGGAAGGTGGGCAGCCGGGCAGCCAAAATTCTGGTACGTGAACTAGAACTAGTAAGTAGTCCTCCAATAACGGCAGATGAGAGACACCTTCTCCCTCGCCACAGTGACCCTAGTGTAGAGAAAGCACCAACGATCGCTCCACTGTGCACTCAAGCTCCTGGGTGTCGCAAAGCATAATGACTGATAGCGGCAGATCCTCTTGCAGATCAGGAGCATGCTAATAAACTCCTGGGTGATATGAGTTTGACAATCGGCATCGACGTCGCCGAACAAATAGCTAGTTAACTCCCCTGTCAACCGGTCTGGGTGCTGCCACGCCTTGCTGAGCAGCAGTTCAACTTCTTCACTCTCATTAACATTCCCCAAGAGGAGATGGACTTGAAGCAAACAAAATTTCAAAAAGGCGAACTATTGCTCAAGTCAGCGGTCCAGGGGTAGGGACAGTTTTGAGGGAGAAGAAGGAAAGAAAGCACTGAATACCGTCGAGCAGAGAGGAATTCGGGGAGGTCAAGGTAAGGCCAAAGCCATGACAATTTACTGAGGGAGGAAAGGGAGGAGGGGATGCACATGATTGCGATTTTTTCTCCACAAAAAGTCAATGGCAACGTTGATCTGGCGTAGGATCAGTGCCAAGTCATTTACCAAGACTTGCTGCTAGCGCCCCGCCAACTCAAATGCAAACTACTGTACACCAACCAGAACTCCCCATTGTAGATAATGCCCAATGCCCAAAATGCCACCCTCATAATCCGACGAAGGCGATCTTACCGACACCTGGAAGAGAAAGACGATGCAATGCTACAAACTTGCCCAACACTAATCAAGAAGACTTTATGCACACCTTGATCTCCACCGCAGCATGCAAACACATGTGAGGCTGGGGAAAGGTCGTGCTGATCGCCACCTCCTTGGCAAAGCCATTTGTTGCATTCATGGCGATGACAAGTTGGGTAGAGATGGTGAAGATTGAGCAGGCTTGGGGTTAGAGAAGGAATCATAATTGTCAGCTTCAGCAAGAGTAACGCATGAGGAGACAGAAGGGGTAATTGGTTCATATTGAGGTCTCTCAATGTCGTTACAGTGGTATTATCAGATCCTACAAGACCTGTTAGGATTCTGTGTAGTGTTGATTTGCCCGTTTTTCCTTTGTGACATTCGACCAGACCAATCGGCTCTTGCCTACTTCCAAGCACCGCGTTTACACTTTTCAGGCCAATCTCTATCACTTGGAACTTGCCAAAGAATCTGACTGAACTATGGGCCTCGTTAGACACTCCTTGGCACATAACATCTACAAGGACGTGATTGTTCCACCTATCCTCGGGGAAGAAATTGGAAAGAAAATGTGAAAACATTTCCTCGAGGAATCCTTGTAGCGTCCTTGTGGCCCAGCCATGTCGTGTCCTAGTGCTAGGGACCTCGCGAGGTCCCTCGGAGCTCAAGGTTCCGCAATAATCGGAGCGGCGAAGGCACGCGTTGTTGACAACTTTCTGTTTTCAGCTGGTTCATTGGCTATCTATCACCTGCGGTCATGACTGCGGGATTATGGCCACGCGGGCCGACCGTGTGCGGACAAGTGCGGCCGCAAACACCCGGTATTCTTAACTCGTAGGAAAATAGGCGGGAAAATATATATACCTCTATACATACTAAAGCAAGCAAAGGGTCTGGCGACATGGTCAGTCGCGGACCCAACGGAAACCGCTTGGGACACCGCGGTCGGGACAAGGTGTCGACCGTCACGGGGGGCAGGGAAAAGCGAAGCGGCCAAGGGGCGGAGGGCCTAGCCGACGCGGGGGAACCGGCAGGTAGGGACACAAAACCGAGGCGGGGGCCGTCTGGGGTAGGCCGGCGCAACGGAATTGGCCATGGCTGGCGTGAAGGGGGACGCAAGGAATGGCTGGGCGGCGCGGGCGCAAAAACGAAAGCGGGCGGGGCGGCATGAGGCCGGAGCGCCCCCGCGTCAGCAGGAGGTAGGGGGAGGCAGGAGGTAGCGCGAAGGAGGGGAGGGTGGGAGTACGATGACCGAATCGTGTGCAGTGGGAACAACGGGAGAGAGAGAGAGAGAGAGAGAGAGAGAGAGAGAGA